TGTAGGGCACACGAATGCTGGTGGCACTTGCATGGGTGGCTCAATGCTCATGTATTATAGTTGTGGTTGTGTGTAGTGTATACATGTATTAAGCATGTGTTGCTTACCCAATGTGCATGTAAAGGTGGCTTATGTACCGAAGACAGCGAAGGCATATCAGACAGCGAAGGCATATACCCAATTAAATTAAAATTTAACATCATAAATAGTACTAGTTAAAGAAAGTACATTTGTGAAAATATTCATTATTTGAATTCTAAATTATAATATTTTACTGGCGCAGGGGCGAACATCGCGGTGACGGGCTCCGGGCTGCGGACGGTCCTGAGGGGGACCGGTCCGTTCACGCTCTTCTTGCCCGTCACCGAGGCCTTCGCGGCCATCGATAACACCACCGTTAACGCCTTCATCCAGAACATCACCATCCTGCAGAGTGAGTGGAGTCCTGCAGAGTGAGTAGAGTCCTGCAGAGTGAGTAGAGTCCTGCAGAGTGAGTAGAGTCCTGCAGAGTGAGCGGTACCATCCTGCAGAGTGAATAGAGTCTTGCAGAGTGAGTGGTACCATCCTGCAGAGTGAGTGGTACAATCCTGCAGAGTGTGGTAGAGTCCTGGAGAGTGAGCGGAGTCCTGCAGAGTGAGTGGTACAATCCTGCAGAGTGTGGTAGAGTCCGGGAGAGTGAGTGGTGTCATCCTGCTGAGTGTGGTAGAGTCCTGCAGAGTGAGTGAAGTCCTGCAGAATGAGTGGTACCATCCTGCAGAGTGAGTAGAGTCCTGGAGAGTGAGTGGTGTCATCCTGCTGAGTGTGGTAGAGTCCTGCAGAGTGAGTGAAGTCCTGCAGAATGAGTGGTACCATCCTGCAGAGTGAGTAGAGTCCTGCACAGTGAGTGGTACTATCCTGCAGAGCGAGTGGTACCATCCTGCAGAGTGAGTAGAGTCCTGCAGAGTGAGTTGGTTAATGGCAGCCGAGGTGAAAAGCGTCAAGTCCCCAACAGCCCCCGGGCGTTCAGAGGGTCATTTGCCTGTGTCCTGCCAAGCCTCCTTCTCTCTCGATGTATTTATTAAATTTTCATTTAATTACTTAAGCGATTATCATCGGTTTGCTTTAATCATGGAAATGCCGAATTTGTGCTCCAAATCTTTTTTTAAAACGTTCTGGAGAGTAGCTCCATCATCATTTCAAAAATTCAGAGAATAAAAGTACAATCAGGAGAGAAAATCCTAATTTATATGAAAGCGATTGAAATATCTAGTACCAAATGCTGTAAATGAACCAATAAACTCAATTAACTTTATTTTTGCTGATTGTATTTCTATTCTCCGAATTTCTCAAATGACGGATTTGGTCTTGACAACGTTTTCAATTGAAAATGCGAATTTACTTAGCGTTGTCTTTGGTTTTAAATTATTGATCCCCATTAAAGTTGTTCATCACCACCTCGTATCACAGGGGTGTTGCTGCACCACATCGTTCCGGGGTTGCACTACAGCGAAGGGTTGCTGGATGGACAGTACCTGGAGACTCTGGCAGACGGGGAACTGCGCGTGCAAGTCCACAATGACGGCCGCACTAGTGAGCATATGGGGAAGACGTGGGGTCTTAGCTTCGCGTTTGTTTTTTTGTTTGTTTGTTGTTAACATTGACAACGAAAATTAGCCCACTTCTGATTGCTTTAGAGATCTGAAATTCGGCATGCTGGCTATTTTCGCCTAACAATTTCAGATACAATCATAAAAACTAGCAATTAGAGACCTAAATTAGCTTAATTGAGTGAAGTCTCTATAGTATATATAGTATATATATATAGTATAGTATAGTAGTTTAGTATAGTATAGTATATACTATAGTATCTCTATAGTATATATATATATATAGTATATATATATAGTATGACGTGCGGGCGCTGACGTTATAGACGAGCAGGCGCTGACGCTGCGTATCATCGATACGTACTTACAGCATCCACATAGTAGAAAATAAACTATATAATATAAAAAACTTTTCAAAAACAACGTTTTTCATGTGTAGTAACGGACTAAAATGAAGAAAATAAATTATGGCTCGCCCCAAAAAACGTGGGTCGGGCTGTGCATTCACCATCAAATTTTCAAAATTCGTGTGTTGTGTGCTTTTCGCTTTAATCATAAATCTGCCCTACACATGTTTTTTGGGGCGAGCCATAATTTATTTTCTTCTTTTTAGTCCACAAGAAAAACGTGTTTTTTTAAAAAGTTTTTTTAAAATATTTTATTAATTCTTGATCCCCTTTAAAGTTACTTATCACCCCCTTGTATGACAGGGGTGTTGCTCCATCACATCGTGCCGGGGTTGCACTACAGCGAAGGGCTGCTCGATGGACAGTACCTGGAGACTCTGGCAGACGGGGAACTGCGTGTGCAAGTCCACAATGACGACCGCACTANTGAATTGATGAATCGACTTATAAGTTCTTGAGTCTATGATGTCAGAACTGTGTCGAACTGCCGTAAGATACCAACATGAACACTTATTGAGCCCCGAAAGTTCGCTGTCATTTATTAGACATGGATCATGGATCGCAGGGAATTAGATGGTTCATATGTTTTGATAGAGATAAACTGATATGCTGCTAGTGAGAGACTTAAATTCATTGGCTGCATTTACTCAACAGTCAATGGCCTGAATTAAGGACAAGGCGTGGGGTAAAATAGAAGCTCTTTATTTCCTTTTGATTTTTTCCCTCTACCGGACCATTTCCCTAGTCTCTACCGTACCATATCTCTAGCCTCTACCGTACCATTTCCTTACCCTATACCGTACCATTTCTTTACCTATACCGTACCATTTTTTACCATATACCGTACCATTTCTTTACCCTATACCGCACCATTTCTTTACCTATACCCGTACCATTCCTTTACCTATACCGTACCATTTTTTATCATATACCGTACCATTTCTTTACCCTATACCGTACCATTTCTTTACCCTATACCGTACCATTTCTTTACCCTCTACCGTACCTGTCTCTTATACACATCTAGATGTGTATAAGAGAAGGATTCAATCCTACGAGGCTATGCTTAGAAGGATTCAATCCTACGAGGCTGTGCTTAGAAGGATTCAATCCTACGAGGCTGTGCTTAGAAGGATTCAATCCTAAGAGGCTGCGCATAGGAAGATTCAATCCTACGAAGCTGTGCTTAGAATACGAAGCTGTGCTTAGAAGGATTCAATCCAACTAGGCTGTGCTTTAGCGGATTCAATCCTAAGAGGCTGCGCATAGGAGGATTCAATCCTACGAAGCTGTGCTTAGAATACGAAGCTGTGCTTAGAAGGATTCAATCCTACGAGGCTGTGCTTAGAAGGATTCCATCCTACGAAGCTGTGCTTAGGAGGATTCAATCCTACGAGGCTACGAGGCTATGCTTAGAAGGATTCAATCCTACGAGGCTGTGCTTAGAAGGATTCAATCCTACGAGGCTGTGCTTAGAAGGATTTAATAACCTACGAGTCCGTACTGGGGAGGATTCAATCCTGCAAAGCGGTGCCAAGAAGGATTTAGTCTCAACTGTTAAAGGATCCGTTGGAAGTAAGGATAATTCACTGTATGTTTTCTTTACACATTCCGGCGCCACGGAGCCAGCACACAGGCAGCTTCATCACCATGCGTACAGACACTTTATTTCACTTCACATTAACCGGAAAAATAATTACGAATTTTCTTGTTATCACATTTATTTTAAAAATTGTTGTCAAAAGTGTGTCTGATAATAACAAAACATGATTATCTGTTTGACAAAATTTTACTAAGCTTGCGTGGCCCGAGATTTTACAAGAGATTAATTGTGTGTTTGGTCGCATTATTATTAGTGCATGTTCGTTTTTAGTTCGTTTTTCTGTATGTATTATGTACCTAAATATTAAATAAAACCATGTAATTTAAACTCTTTATGAGAACATTTATGCCCATGAAAAATCATTATTCTACGAATATATTATTTCCTAGGTCACCACTCTAGAAGAATTAGAAAATGTAAGTATGAGCAAACAATTATATTAAGTACAAACTACCATAGGAACAAATTATTCAAAGACAAAGTTAAATTTGCCACAAATTGTATCAAGCATTTCAGTTTGTAAAACTTTCATCTCGAAAATATTACGTAACAAAATATTGCTGAAGCTTCTAATAATTTTCTTCATCGAAAATAATAAGCGAAGTTTGAGTGCCCAGCAACAAACTCGTCCGCTTTACTTATCAGTTATTTCCAGGGGAACCAATTTAAGGGGAACCATATTTTATAGCACGTATTTCCACTGGGAGCTTTTTTTTCTAGCAACCAATTCTCAATAAAATATAGTTCCCCTATGTTCCCCTGGACATAACTGTTAGAAATAAGGTTCCCATTGAAAATATTCTGAGGTGAACCTTATTTCTCACAGTTATTTCTTAAGTTGCCCAAGACGTTTTCTGGGCCCTCGACTTGATGGGGGTCAAAACTGCCGCTGCTCGATCGAACGATCGTTCCAAATTTCCCGAGTTTGAAACTTTCTGAGTCTTTTCACGGAAATTTTTTATTTTTTCTGATGATTCTCTAAATGACTTGTTGGCATGTAGTCTTGAATTCTGATGAACAATTCTGGAATCATCAATTTTAGCAATCGGGAGTCTTCTTTTTGAATCGGATCCGAGTTCATTGCTCCTGACTGACTTCTGCTCGTCGAAATTTGGATTGTGATGGTCAGAGTTAAATTTGCGCTGATTTTCTTTTTGTTGAACTCTGACGAATTGATCAGTGTGCTGATCGCCAGACATCATCGGTGAGTTCGATTCACTTTTCACGTTGGACGAAGAATCCTTTTCACCTGGAATCACTTGCGAATCACTAGATTTTGAGATATCGGAATTCGATGAAGGTTCCCAAAAAGAATGGGTAACAGTTTCCTGCGAATGTTTTTCACTTGCAATTTCTGCCGTTGACAGAGAAACGGAATTGAAGTCGGGAAAATTCTCTGATGTTCTACGGGAAGCCACAATTTCCGCCTCCAGTTTTGTAGATGGCGTGAGTGAGTGGTGTTTGAAAACGAGTTTCAACCTCACCATTGATACTCGGAGGCTTTTCGATGTCCCTGCCCTGCTTGTCTATACTGACTGCAGGTGTTTTAAGATCAGTTTGTGGGCTACTATGACCACCTGCAGTATTTGTCGCACTCGTTTCAGTTGCTAATAATTTTTTTGACTCTTTTTCGCCAATCTCGTGTTCAACGATGACGTCACTGTTTAACTTCCTCCGCACATTTCTAGATTCAAATATCTTTGTTTCAACATTGTCTTCAGAGTCATCAGTCTTGAGCTCAGTGTTCCTAATTGGATTAGTGTTTAGTGAAGGCAAAGCCAGGTCCGTGATGGGCTTAGGTACGGCCAACTCTTGCTTAGTGATGAAAGTACCGAAAGTGTCGGCAGAAGATCGGTGGTTGAAGGGGTGGAACGGCGCACTCAGCAGACGACGATACTCGGCAACTTTCTTGCGGTACGGCAAGTTCCAATGGTAAACTTTCTTAGGCTTACCGTTGATGGTGAAGTTCATGGGGATCTGGAAATTAATTTTGAATTAATACTGTGAAGAAATCCTGAAGAGCTGTGCTACCCAAACAAGCATATAGTATTTATGATATAATGAAAATTATTGAATTTAGCTAAATTAAATTAGAGTTAAAAATGAATTGAAGGTGAAATGGATATACAAGTTTATGGTTTAAAGTTTGGTTGAATGTTTTTCAATTAATTAAAATTACTCATTAAATTAACGCCACGTAAATTACTCAGATACATTCAAGTGCAAGTGATAAATTGTAAACAATTTAATTTAATAATTTAAAATCTACCTGTGCTTGAAAAGGATAATTTGCCTTTCTTAGGCTATTCATAATATTCACGATTACAACATTGGCTGTTTGAATTACTAAAAGATTATATATTTTATTCCCTCTTTTTTAAACCATTTCATAAATCAGTCCATCAATAGCAATTGCGAGCTACACGCGTTGAAAGCGCTGCTCCAGAAATAAGTTCTGAACAAAGGAAAATATATGTGAATGAATAAATATATTTTGTAGCCATTTCATTCATAAAAACCGTTGTATTATTTCAACGTGAGAAATAGGTTTACAACCATCTTGAATAATAAATAAAAGTTATTTTTATGCATATTTTTGTGCATTTTTTGTACATAAATGCATGGCACGCATGTTTGTTTTAAAATAAGAGAACGATAAAAGAACGTACGTATTTTTTAAATTATAAGACGAACCTGTTTGCCGATCCTGTTCTTGTATGGAGGAGAGTAGGAGTAGAAACGGGGGGTGGGGGGCAGCTTGATATAGTAGATTGGGGACTCTCCTGGACGAGGTTGCCCCATCACCACCTTGAAGCCCCCCTCGTGTTCGGGCCCGTGGGGGTCAGAACCTGTTAACCCCCGGGACAAAACCTCCTGTTGGGTAGGAATGGTTTCTTTATAGTCGTCTATACTTCCATTAAACTACTACTATATTCAACTATCGTAGTACAGAACTACAGTTATCGACTACAAAGCTCAATCATTGTACTTTGTGACTNTTTTTTTACATTTTACGTATGTATGTGAAGTTTCATGATGATCGGATAATAACTGTAGAAGTTTTTCCGGAGGGTAGTCGGTCCCCTTAATTAGCAATACGGCAGTCGTAAGCCAAAATGTGGCCGTAAATTTTACGGTGGTCGTAAGCCCTACGGTAGTCGTAAGCCCTACTGTGGTCATGAGACGTAAGCCCTACGGTGGTCGGTGGTCGTAAGCCCTACGATGATCGTACCTGCAGGGTCTTAGGAAGCCTGTGGATCTCCGCTAGCTGAGGCTGCAGCGCGGACGTCGCTGCAGCAACCGGGCTGGAAATTAGCCAACGCTGTTTAATGAAGTATAAGACATTCATTGGGATGATCAACATAGGAATCAGGGGTTACAATTAATAATTAACGAAGTTCAATGTGAGTAAATGAGACAAACATGAGGATATTTGATATTAGAATCGGTTATTACAATTATTAACCAATGATGTTCAGCTGTGATAACTTAGGGCATTGATCATGATTATCAACGTCATTGGAGACAGATTGAGTAGCAGAAGAAAGGAAAGAGAAAAAATTTGATGAAAAAGTTTAGTGGAAGGAAGGAGGAATTCGAGGAATTAAAGAACTGAAAACTGTACAAAGTAAATGAAATGTAAATAACAATAAAGAAAAAGATGATAGAAAAATATAAGAATGCTAATGAGATGGATGATATCCAGTGATATGGATGATACACAGTGAGATTGTTGATAAACAATTAGATAGATGATAACCAATTAGATGGATGATAACCAATCAGAGGGACGATAACAAGGCTTATGAGTAATACCAAGTGAAATGATGATACCCCCTAAGTTGGATGATAACAAGTGAGAAGGATGATAACAATTCAGATACTTGATAACAATTCAGATGGATGGCAACCAGTCAGATGGATAAATTCCAGGGAAAAGACAATAGTGAAATATATGAAACCCATAGCGAAATAATGATACCCAGTGATACGGATGGTATCCAGTGGCTGAGAATACGAAACAAGTGATTCATAAGAAATATACAACACACCTAGCAAGTCTCAACTCTCCCCTATACTTCCAACATCTACTGGACTAACAAACGTACGTCACAACCGTCAAATTATACAGACGTAGCAGCCGTCTCCTACGACTGACGTCAACGGCTTCGCTGAGGTCACGGGCACGTGGTGATTTGCCCAAGTCACGTAAAGCTGCCGCGTTTGTTTAACCTCAGCATCCTACCATCGGTCAAAGGATCCTTGAGTCATCCTAATGCGGAAATCGTGATTTCCGCATTCTTAATTATCTATTATATTCGGTTATAATTTAATTTTAAGCATATGTAATAATTTACACTTGTTACCTCTCGTGTATCTGTCGTCATCACAATTCGTAACTCATCTCATTTCTACTCATCTCTTACATTTACTATTTTCTTTATGATAATCGCTTCTGAATTCGATATTGAATTGATGAATCGACTGATAAGTTCTTGAGTCTATGATGTCAGAACTGTTGTCGAACTGCCGTAAGATACCAACATGAACACTTATTGAGCCCCGAAAGTTCGCTGTCATTTATTAGACATGGATCACAGGGAATTAGATGGTTCATATGTTTTGATAGAGATAAACTGATATGCTGCTAGTGAGAGACTTAAATTCATTGGCTGCATTTACTCAACAGTCAATGGCCTGATTTAAGGTCAAGTCGTGGGGTAAAATAGAAGCTCTTTCTTTCCTTTTAATTTTTTACCCTCTACCGTACCATTTCCTTAGTCTCTACTGTACCATTTCTTTACCCACTACTGTACCATTTCTTTACCTTCTACCGTACCATTTCTTTACCTTCTATAGTACTATTTCTTTACCCTCTACCGTTATACCATTTCTTTAGCCTCTACCATACCACTTCCTTTGCCTCTACCGTACCCTTTCCATAGCCTCTACCGTGCCATTTCCATAGCCTCTACCGTACCATTTCTCTAGCCTTTACCATACCATTTCTCTAGCCTCTACCGTATCATTTCCTTACCCTATACCGCACCATTTCTTTACCTATACCGTACCATTTTTTACCATATACCGTACCATTTCTCTAGTCTCTACCGTACCATATCTCTAGCCTCTACCATACCATTCCTTAACCCACTACCGTACCATTTCTCTAGCCTCTAACATACCATTTCTTAACCCACTACCGTACCATTTCTCTAGCCTCTAACATACCATTTCTTAACCCACTACCNGAGCAACAGAGCGAGCAGAGCAACAGAACGAGCAGAGCAACAGAGCGAGCAGAGCAACAGAGCGAGCAGAGCAACAGAGCGAGCAGAGAAACAGAGCGAACAGAGCAACATAGCGAGCAAAGCAACAGAGCGAGCAGAGAAACAGAGCGAACAGAGCAACATAGCGAGCAAAGCAACAGAGCGAGCAGAGCAACAAAACGAGCAAAGCAACAGAGCGAGCAGAGCAACATAGCGAGCAGAGCAAGAGAATATGCTCAGAATATGAGCCTGTTCAACAGCAAAATAAGCTAAATCTGTAATGTCAACAGAATAGGCAGATGAACGATGCCGGCAATGCAACACAGTCTGAGTTGCTGCAAAGCATTCGGAGGAGCCGTCTGCAGAGCAGCAGTCGTAACGGCCGTAATTTTCGTTGTTTTTGGCAACGCTAACATGCAATTTACGCGCCAGCCTCTAAAGCAGTTGTTCTGTCCTGAACTGTTCCTTCTGGCGACGTAGCGCACCACACTAGCGCCAGGTCTTGTAGTGGATTAAGGGTATGTGGAGTTACATCCAGACGATTCTATGCATTCTCAAGTCCTGATAAGTGATGCTCAGCTAATGAGATGGATGATATCCAGTGATATGGATGATACACAGTGAGATTGTTGATAAACAAATAGATAGATGATAAACAATTAAATGGATGATAAACAATTAAATGGATGATAACCAATCAGAGGGACGATAACAAGGCTTATGAGTAATACCAAGTGAAATGATGATACCCCCTAAGATGGATAATTGCAAGTCAGAAGGATGATAATTCAGATACGTAGTTGATTACAAGTCATATGGATGACTATAAATTGGATAGATGACAACCAGTCATGATTGATAAATTCCAGAGAAAATACGATAGTGAAATGTATACCCAGCGAAATAATGATACCGCAGTGCTACAGATGATATCCAGTGTCTGAGAATATGAACCAAGTAATTCGTAACAAATATACAGAACATCTAGCAAGTCTCAACTCTCCCCTACACTTCCAACAACTACTGGACTAACAAACGTACGTCACAACCGTCAAATTATACAGACGTAGCAGCCGTCTCCTACGACTGACGTCAACGGCTGCACTGAGGTCACGGCCTAGCAAGTCTCAACTCTCCCCTATACTTCCAACATCTACTGGACTAACAAACGTACGTCACAATTTTGATCAAAAGGCCAGTCTAGTCAAGAAAAATACAAGATTTGGCGACAGGCCTATCCAGGCCTATTCTTCAATGCCGAAGATACTATACTATACCATGCTAAGGATAATGTCTTTCTCTTACAAACTTCCATATATTTCTCCCTGACCAAAACAAGTGATATGACATGCACTATTTCGACAAAGAGCTTTTACGTGCATCAAATTAAAGTATCAAGATGAGAATGCTCAAGTTGCAGTGCATGATACAGCAGCCAAGAGACAAGAGACTGCACTCTCTGAAAAATCAAGCTAATCAATGCTTGGCCACGAGTGTCGGACACAGCTTCCTACACGCAACTCACTGCTCCAATTTTGCTGTGCTTAACCGTCCGGCCTCCTCGCCGATTCTGACTAGAAAATTTTTGCAAATAGCTGGGCTCGAACACTCAATCGACAATTCTACGGACAAGCCTGCGAACTCGCCTGCGGACTCGCGCAACTGGGACATTCATAATTCCTCCAATACTTAAGGGGACCGGCTACCCTCCGGAAAAACTTCTTTACCGTACCATTTCTTTACCCTCTACCGTACCATTTCTTTACCCTCTACCGTACCATTTCTTTACCTTCTACCGTACCACTGCTTCAGCCTCTACTGTGTACCATTTATTTACCCTCTACCGTACTATCATTTTCTAATGGTTAAAGTTGATGGCTCTTTGTAAAACGCCATAAAGCACTCCTCGGATTATCTGACCACGAAAATTTATCCAACGATCGTTGTTTCGAAGTAATTATACAATCATTGTTAATGCTTGTCATGCCCACCAAAATGCAGGTAGTTTTTTTATGTTGATGTGAAGTTTTCATTGCCTTCATCCTCACAGTTTGCACTGGAGATATGGTATCCCGGAAGCTTTGAAAACCTCATAAGAAATAATAAATTGGATATGCAAGCATACAACAAAGACATTGTTGCATGTCAACTACAACAACTAAGTTAGCGACCTCTTTAAATGTACATATGTATCAATTAAGGAATTTTTGAGTTGTAAAACCAGTATGAATGTATAAGCTGAATGATTACCGAATAAGAACAAGAGTCTGAATTATAGGAGGCTAGCAGCTGGCCATAGATGAGCCGACCATAACGTGGTGTAGGAGAGAGGCTAGTGAGAGCCATGGATGAGTACCCGCGCAGCGTTGAAATCTCCTTAAAAATTGTAACATCACCTATTGGGTTTTTGATATAAACTTTTGGGTTTTGATATCAACGTTGTATCAACGCTTGAGTTTGATAGCATTTCTTGAGTTTGATAACAACTCTTGAGTTTGATAAGAACTCTTGAGTTTGATAACAACTCTTGAGTTTGATAACAACTCTTGAGTTTGATAACAACTATTGAGTTTGATAACAACTCATGAGTTTGATAAAAACTATTGAGTTTTTGAGTTTGATAACAATTTTTGACTTTGATACCAATTCTTGAGTTTGATAACAAAGCTTGAGTTTGATAACAACTTCTGAGTTTGATAACAGCTCTTGAGTTTGATAACAACTTTTGAGTTTGCTAACAACTCTTGAGTTTGATAACAACTCTAGAGTTTGATAACAACTTTTGAGTTCGATAACAACTCTTGAGTTAGTTCGATAACACCTGTTGAGTTTTTGAGTTTGATAACAACTTTTGACTTTGATAACAACTTTTGAGTTTGGAAACAAATTTTTAGTTTGATGGAAGCTTTTGTATTTGATGATAACTTGTAAATTTTGTAATGTGATAGCAACGTCTATATATTTGATTACGACCTGTAAGGCTGTAAGCTTGATAACATCTTGAAGGCTACACGATAATGTCCTAGTAACAGTTATGGGGGAATGAAGTGACCAATACGGTGTTATGTATATGCAAACTAGCCAATTTTTAAAACAATTTTTATAAATATAGCTATTTTTAAGATTTATGTGCCAGCATTATCTCATCCACAATTCTACTGGTTGCATTATATGAGTTGGCCGCTAATGTTTCATTATAATGATAGACCATTTGTAGGTAACCGCATTGCTTACCAACTGTCACGTTAAGATTTGTAAGTAATGGAGGTGCGCCTTTTGAAAGGTGATATAGGTAATGGAGGTGCGCGTTATGAAAGGTAATGTAGGTAATGGAGGTGCGCGTTATGAAAGGTAATGTAGGTAATGGAGGGGCGCGTTATGGAAGGTAATGGAGGTAATGGAGGTGCGCGTTATGAAAGGTAATGTAGGTAATGGAGGTGCGCCTTATGAAAGGTAATGTAAGTAATGTAGGTGCGCGTTAAGAAAGGTAATGTAGGTTATAGAGCTGCGCGTTATGAAAGGTAATATAGGTAATGGANCTTGAAAGGCCGTCAATGATTGGCTGATGAACTTACGATCTCTTAACTTTTTTTTTAAAGTATGGCCGCAGAGCCTAACTGTTCTTGTCGTAAACAGCAGCTGCGCTCAACAGGTCACTGCGCTAATTGAGCCTAACTGCTGTGACGGTGTCGGGTGTTGACAGTTAGTCTTGTTGACAGTTGTGTGGCAAGGAATGTGTGAGCGTATTGACAGTCGTTTATCAACTGTCAACTCATTAACGGTTAAGAATTTCCGCGTGCTGTTGGCAGGGAGCGGTTATGTCAACATCGAGTTTGAAAATTGTGAAGATTTTCTCCATTCTATTGTTATATTGGCGAAATTAAAAATATTTAGCTATTCAATAAAGTATCGTTCAATAATAAACGCGCGTACAACGCTACTAATTTCTTCAATCACTTATTATTTAACATCCAAAATTGTTAAATACTTTTTACCTCCATTATTGAAATATTCATATACTATCAATAAGTGCGTCCTTCATCTTTAAACCCTGCATATATTACATGGGTTTCCGTCATTTATTTTACACTATTCATAAATCATCATAAGAACGTAGAGGCCAAGGCCACGATGACGTCATCACAGGGGAACACAGCTACAGTGATGAGGGAAGAAGCGGCCTTCAGTGCCTCCTGTGTGTACAGTCACAGGCTGTGTGTACAGTCACCGGCTGTGTGTACAGTCACAGGCTGTGTGTACAGTCACCGTCTGTGTGTACAGTCACAGGCTAAGTGCACAGTGTACACTGCACAGTGTACAGTCACCGGCGTCTCCGGCATTGTTTGGTAAAGGCATTATACTGTATAGTATAATGCCTATTTACTATAGGCCTATTTATATATAATAAAAATAATATATAGGCCTATTTATATATAATGCCTATTTACTATAGTTAAAGGCATTGCACTGTACTGTAGTCAGTATACATACTGGGCTATTACATGTACCGTTGTACATCAATTGACAGCTTCGAGAGAGAGACAGCTACGAAAAATTAGTGCCCTTAACTAAAAACTTCTTAACTTCGTTTGAATAACTTGTTCTTCTTACAGGGTTTTCTATAAATTGACCTGTGCAACCTTGCTAAGATAAGAATTTCACATTAATCTACGTATATATGTATATTGTTAATTGATTTATGCTGCGAGATGTCGTATGTAAAATTGTTAATTATTGTTACGTGTTTCGAAGTTCATGACTACTCCCCACGGACGTTAACTTAGGATTTTGTAGTAATAATTCATTTATAAGATGAAAATAATTGTATTCAATGAATCTTGCAGCCCGACAAGTTACGTGAGACGAGGGTGATTGGGAAGTGTGTAGTAGGCTAGAATCTGGACATTTTTTGTATAAAGAATTTTCACTGTTCAGTCCAGTAAAAGGTGGTAAAGGGAACAGTGAAAGAATTTTCACTGTTCAGTCCAGTAAAAGGTGATAAAGAGAACAGTGAAAGAATGAACAGCGAAAGAATTTTCACTGTCCCTTTACCACCTTTTACTGGACTGAACTTCTTCTGAACTGAATTTTGTTTTCAGAATTTACAACAATTTTCTTTGCAGAATTCAGAATTCAGAAGAATTTTCACTGTTCCCTTTACCACCTTTTATTGGAATGAACTTCTTCTGAACTGAATTTTGTGAACTGACGATGGAGCTGGACTCGCAAAACGTTTTCTCTTATAAAGATATGGTGAATTCTTGTGCTATTGTTTTTGCTTTTGAATTCCTGGTTAACTTGTGATTTAAGCAAACAAGTGATTTTAATACTTATTACAAACAAAACAANCTTTCTATGGTATCGCACGGCACAAAATATGAATAATATTCTCATTAATGTTAAATTTTACAATGTTAGTAATTATCATTAGGTTATATGAATTTGATAAATATTATACGTAATATACGCATAAGATACTCATATATATAAGGTGCTTATCAGCCTGGGCAGGTAGAGGTACTTACTTGGAGTAGGTAGTGAGGATGGTGGAGGTGATGAAGGTTGTGACCGTCATCACCAACATGTTCTCTGTATTATAGGTCATATGTAGTGTATATCTAGTAACTATCTCTGTAATATGTTAATTATTATCTGTAAATGACAATATCAATCTTAGCAATATTCATCATCTGAAACTCACATGTCGAATATGCCCTATTATCCCTTGCCTGCATCACCCATTTTTATCACTTATCAATGTACTATCCCTCAATTTTTAGAAATAATTACATTTTTCTTAACTACCATTTATCAAAACCTTATTATATGCTCGAATACATCTTAGTTGCCCGAAACAATCTATCCCAAAATGTACATGACTGTATGTATAAGTCCGCTACTTTGCTCAGGCTAAAGTACCTTTCCTACGTTTTTCTCTTACTCACTACTTCCCTACTTCTCTTCTTATTTACTACTTCCCTATCTCGCTTCTTGGTTATTGCTTCCCTACTTCGCTTTCTATTCACTACTTCCCTACCTGGCGTCCCACTTTACTGATTTTAACATGACTTTATTGCCTCCTTAAAAAATATATTAATTATTTTTATAATTTTGAGCTGAATTTTTTTCATTTAATTACCTATTTAACTCCCGAACAATTAATTTCGCCATTATAATAAAATAATTTTTTCTTGGCAAATCGCATGATTACAAATTTCTCACTTGCCTCCTTAATAAATATATTAATTATTTTAACAATTTTAAACTGATTTTTTTTCATTTAACCACCTATTTAACTCCCGAACAATTAATTTGGCCACTATAATAAAAAATAATTTTTTCTTGGCAAATCACAAGATTAAAAATTTCCCACGCATGATCACAAATATTGTTCCCCCTGAACGTATCACGTACAGCCACATTTTTGCCCCTAAGCTTCCCTTTGATGTCTCGGGAAGCCGAAGTTACGAGGGATTGGAGGCACATCGGTAGGCCTGTCCATTGAGAACAGGTGCGCCCATGGTTGAAATAATACATTTCAACCGTGTATACATTTCATACATTTCAAATAAGTATTAATTCAACCATGGGTGCGCCTACCGACAATACAACAAACACGTCATGCTCGTTTCGCTAAAAGGTATATTAGAATAAAATTACAGTATCAGGAAATAATATCTTAATGTAGATAATTAAAAATAAAAATTAGCATTCGCTGGGGTTGAGATAATGGAAATGCTTTACTCAACCCGTTAGGCCGACTATTGTAAATATGCAACAATTAACACAAATCGATAACTCCAGACCAGTAGGTTCCTGCAGGTAGGTTACAGTGGGAACCAGTAGGTTCCTGCTGATTGCCCAGCACTACAAGCAAGAAACAAAAAACTCTCAATGTTTATTGCAGTGTTGAAGTAGTTTTTGCTATTGTTTCAAAGGCTTCACAGTCTTGCTGAAGAACCAGCAAAACTTGAGCGCACAAACATAATAAATTATCTTATTTCGATGTTGTATTCTCGCATAAAGTTGTATAATATTAATTAAATAAAACCAAAACAAAGAATGTATCCAAAATTCACAAGGAAGCAAATTCTTGGAACACAGCCGAAAGTCCCGACTATTGGGCAGACACTCCACCACCTCTCCCGCCGCTGCCGCCCAACCGAATGAGTCTGGCACCGACTACCACTTCGTTAAGTACAAACCATCATAACTTCTCTCATTTTTATTACTATCCTTCAAACTCTAAAGGGATCAATTCTGCAAATAATATACAAGAATTTACGACACACTTGCATAAATAATTTTACACAAAAAGGTTATTATTAAACGACAAATTTTGCGTGTCAATTTATAGACACAGCCTATACACTCTACTGCCGACAGTGCCGAGACAGTACATGATGTACAAGTGCACTAAAATTGCAACCGGTTCGCTCTTGAAGTTTCGAAAAAAATGCATTGGTGCAAAGCATGCATTCTGAGCCGCATCTCTCAAGGCCAGACGACTGGCCAGGATTGGTATTCACCTTTGTTCGCGATATTCTTCATGCTCTATAAAATTGGGCACAGTTGGCCGATTTAGAAATGCGCTTGTCTGCACGTCGGGACATTCTTTGTTGCCATGCGCGTTGTGGAATAAAAATAATGTCATCACTACTAAAAAATTAAAAATTATTTTACTACATAATAAATCATCTTAATTTGTATTTATTTCTATACATTTACAGTTAGAGTGGCATGAGAACAGCGTTTACTGTTCGCGCCTTTCACAGGCGTAAGCAGGGAATATCCAGACGAGCAGACTAGCGGCCTTTCACAGGCGCAATGAGCCTGTGAAAGGTACAACTATTATTGCTTACCAGCTGCAATAAAAATAATAAACCGTATCACATTTATTGTCTGCCGCCAGTGCCGTAATAATCGCCACCATGATACCACCGCAATTTATTTCCCGCCCTGAAGAACCTAATGCAAGGAAATTACAAAATTTTAAATTCAGAATGATTTTCATTGAAAGTCTTCGGTTCAAGCTTCCAGAACTGGTCCAGTAGAAACTAGTATGACATTTTCAAAATCGCACTGGAAAAGAAATGCAAGGTGAACGAAATTTTCCTCGGAGCTATGGACGTGTGTTTAACTTAAACGATTATAATCAATATATTTGTAGCGGTGCAAGGCTTGAGCGAGGTCGTACATGAACTGAATAAATACACGGTCCAGCTGACACTTGAAGAGCCGTTATGATCACGTATATACAGCGAGGGGAAAAACAGTTTAGTATATAAGTGCTCGCAATGACTGATAAATTTTAAATTATTGATATTATGATAATAATATATTCCAATTGCAGATTAAGGATAAGGTCTTTCTATTACAAACCTTCATATATTTCTCCCGGACCAAAACAAGTGACAATATTTCTCCCGGACTTTTACATGCATCATGCATGTATCAAATTTAAGTATCAAGATGAGAATGCTCGAGTTGCAGTGCATGATTAAGCAGCCAAGAGATAAGAGAGCGCAGCCTCTGAAAAATCAAGCTGATTAATGCATGGCCACGAGTGTCGGAGTCAGCTTCCTGCTAACATTAAATCTCCATTGTCTCCAAAATTTAAAACAATATTTCTCATGCAACTTAAATGCGAATAATTTTTATCTAATGAATATTATACTTCTAATTTCGAAAAATACATCCATGCGTGATAAAAGATTACAGAAGAACGACAAAGCGTGTCAAATGTCATTTAAAAAATAGTATAAATTTGTTTGAAATATTGCATAAATGGTATTAGTTATAATAACAATGGTTTCAACGTTTATTAGGCGGTAGACCTGCCGCCCATTCTTAACATCGCGAACATTCACAGTTTGTTGCGGTCTCGAACACGCAACTCATTGCTCCAATTTTGCTCTGTCTAACCGCCAGGCCTCCTCGCCGATTCTGACCAGACAAATTTCGCCCAGAGCTAGGCTCGAACCCGAACCTCTCAGCTCCAATCTTGGTACTTTGAACTGTAACAACAGGGACATCCTGCCCTAAACATACGTGTTCTGAGCAGGGTGGCCACGTGCTTACAGTTCAGAGTACCATGATTGGCGCAGAGAGGCGCGGGTTCGATCCCAGCTCTGTGCGCCAGTTTCTGGTCAGAATCGGCGAGGAGGCCGGGCGGTTAAGCACAGCAGCATTGTAGCAGTGAGTTGCGAGTTCGAGACCGCAACAAGCTGTGAATGTTCGCGATGTTATGAATGGGCGGCATTTCTACGGCCTACTAAACGCTGAAACCGCTATTATTCTTATTATTAATATAGCATGGCAAAAAAGAAAAGTAGATGATAGGCATGCGTACTGCTATGTCAACTTGTATAATCAGAACCGGGTTCATTATTTGAATTTAATCAACAATCATACATACATATTTCTATTAATGCGGTCTTTTATTTAATTCAGACTTTTATTTAATATGCAAATTGTTGCTGTGCCTGACTTCTGCTCTGGTATTACTTTTAGTACCAACCATATTTTTTTTCTGTCGGTAGACGTCTTACGAAACCTGACGGGTTTAAATAATTGCTGCGAAACCTAATTTTTAGGTATATGAAACGAAACCATCGATTCTATTGCAAAGCTCCGCGAAATCATATATTTTCCGGTGTTTAGCAGAAAACTGTTTACGTGCATCCGATCTGTGCGTATTTGGTCTCTCTATTTTATAAAACTCCCAGTATTTCTCTATTTTTATGTCGAAATAATGAAGGTTAAGATCAAAAAGTGGACTGGAGTTGGAACCTGGAGCTACAAAGTCGATTACGATAATTGCGGAATTTGCAGGCAACCGTTTCATGGGTAAGTAAATGTAAAAGTAGGAATAATACCAGTGTGACTGAAAAATTTACTTCGTGCGAATCTTCTAACTTCAGGCTAACAAGCAAGTGATTAATAGTGATTACCGACAGTCTGATGTTAAAGTAGCGTTTAACTTAACAATTGTAGATATATATGATTCATCACAGATATTATTTATTTTTAGTTGAAATATTTTTTATGTTACTTTGCCTGTTTGTCATTTATTCATTCTTGTTGAATTGAGGTTTTAATCTACTTTCAAATTTAGTTGCACCAAACGATTATATTGATACTTTTTAGTAATATTGTTTCATTTTTATTACTAATGATGGAGCTGGTTGCCTGATCAATTTTGACAAATATGCAATAACTAAGGTAAATTTTTTAGCCATATAGCCTATTAGCTAAACCTAATTTTTTTGTTATGTTGTATTTGATTATAGGAGTTTAACCAATTTGGAATATTGGGCAGAAATTTCCTAAAACTTTGGGTAAATGATTGTTTTACAGGTGGTTTCGAAAATTACAGGTGAAAATAGTTTTTTTTATAAATTTTTTCCATGTAGCCCTGAAGAAATTTGGAAAATGGAAAGGGCCATAGTCTAGAAAAGGTGAAATTGGCTGGATTCAGGCTGTTTTTGTCTTAGTCTAATTTACAGATGGTTTCTTCTCAATTATTGAGTTAGGCAAAAAGCTTACATTTTATCCAAAACTGAAAAATTAGCTAGACAGAAGTTTCTTGCAAATGTAACTGACAATAATGCTTTTGCTTGCAAACAGTTTTATCCATTTCTATGGCCCATTACCTAATTTCTTCAACAAAAATTCAAGAAAATAGCGCATTTCTGCCAAGTGCCATTATGCTAAAAGTGAGCCATTATAGAAAATCAGGCAAAAGTTACCCATGAATTAGACAAACACGTCTATGACCATGGCTGTTTTTTCATTTTGTTATTTTCACCTGTTTTAATAACCCTCACCTAATTTCTTCTATTTAAAAAAGAAAAATAACTCATTTTTACCTGTGATTTTCAAAATCTCTTGCAAAATAAAAGTTTTTACAAGTAATTTTTTGAAAATTCTCTCCAATATTCCAGAGTGGAAATAGAGTAAATTATTCAGGATCTTAGCCCACACATCAGCATCAAAATCTACATCTCCATGACACTTAGGAAGATGTAATTTTTTGGGAGATTTTGGCTGAAGCCAAAGACTGTGCACTGCAGGCTGAAATTCAAGATTGGTATTAAATTAACCATAACACGGAGCATATTGGGCACAACAATCACAGTCTGCAGAGGATGACATCATAATTTCACAACCATTTAGAGTCTGGAGAGGATGTCATCACAATCTCACAACCATTCTGAGTCAGGAGAGGATGACATCACAATCTCACAACCATTCAGAGTCTGGAGAGGATGACATCACAATCTTACCAACCAATCACAGTCTGGAGATTGACATGCATCCACCCAAAAATGACAAAAGCTCTATATACCGTACTACCCTAGAATTCCAACCTGCTGCACAGTTTGCGCAATACTATCATATTCTGGCAAATGGGATAGAAGCCACCAGTGAATGAGATGGAAAGGCCCAAGCTTCTGGTTTATTTCACTCATTTTTATGGCCCTTGCTTTTTCCTTAATTCTTCACAAAAATAGGGTATTTTTCTGCTTATTTCAGAGCCAAATATAGGTGACCATAACTATACTGTATAACTAAACACTTGCAGAGAGAAAATTGGATAGAAAGAAATTTCTAACATTTTTTATGTTGCCTCTAAATAGATTTACTTGCTCTAAAGTTCAAGGCATAAAAGCTCTCAAACTAAGCTAGAAAACTAAGTAGAAAAAAGACTAAGAATGAATAATTTTTTAAATGGAGCCACTTATTTGATTTATTTGCACAAAAATTTTAATTACAGAATTTCTCTAAGCTACAAAATAGGGCAAAGGCAACCATACATAAATGATCCAGAACTGACTGTGTTCATGCAAGATGAAAAAAAAATCCTGACTTTTACCTAAAATTTTACAGCTTCACAATCCTTTATTTGATAAACTTAAAATCATGTAGCTCAGTTGTGTATACCGTTATCAAAAATTAGATTGCAGTTCATTCGTCTAGCAGAAATCTCTTTGCTCTAGAAATCTTTAGTCACAGCTTGGAAAGAAGTTATGTTCCCTTCCTGTGCCCATTGATACTTCCACCCATCTATGCAGCCATTGTCCAATTTCCATCATTAAAATTAAAGCAAATATATTTTAATTCCCATTTTTTATGGGGGAACTTCTCATGGTGCCACAATTTTTACCCATAATTTTCAAGAGAATCTGTTTGATATTATATAGTTTGGAAAGCTATGAAAACTTATTTGGCCAACTCTCCATTTGTAAAGAAACATGTTTAACAAATTATCAGAATCAGTTGTCTCATTTTCCACTTGTAAATATAGTTAAATCTTCAAATTATATAATCTGGACGTATTTACAGTTGCTGCCCATACTGCAAGTGGCCAGGAGAGACGTGTCCTGTGGTGTGGGGTCAGTGCACTCACTGCTTTCATATCCACTGCATGGCAAAGTGGTTGAAGGCACAGGAGCCACGTGAGCAGTGCCCTCTCTGCAGGCAGAAGTGGAGGTAATTTCATTTAATTATAAAATTATACACTTTTTCACTTTGAATTCAATTTATTCTTGTTTTCACAGTCTCTGTTTCATGTCTGGATGTCTGAATAGTAATTCAATCCTTGATTTTTGTAGATAATTTTGACAGTTGGCAAGCAAGAAAATCCAACTAGGCTAAATAGAAATGTAATTATTTCTCTTGATTTGAGCTCCTAGATGAAGGAAAACTCAGTAAGGTTGTCTTTTCTTGTGTTCTTACAAGTCCTTCTTACAGTTTTTGCTCTGTTGCTAAACAGTCTTTGACTTGTTTAAATTTTAAAGATTACAACAGCTATAAAATATTTGGTCTCCCATGACAAAGCTCATGCCTCAATTCTGCCTCTTCTAAAAAAAAGGTGGGGCTTTCATATAATACTGGTAGTTTAGCAGTCATCTGGTGCTCATGGTGCAAAATGCATGTGACATGGGATGACAATTAAGTATAAAAATTTTCATTCATGCTTACAACAAAAGATTTATTCATTTTTAGTGCATTTTCTCATTTATGAAAAAAATGCACTATTGTGCTCACCATATCTGTCTGTCCGTCCGTCCGTCCGTGACTTCATGTTTTCGTCGACAAGAAGATGCAATCTCTCACTCACTGCAGTGAGCACTGAGTTATATTTTTTTATTAGGATTGCTTGCATTAAATAACTAATTTAAGTACACAGAAAAAATACACACAGAAAAAATACATCTTAGAATATCAATATAATGGCAATGGTGCCTGTTGCTACTGGGAACAACTATTGCAAAAATGAATCTACTAAATAAATTTTCATCAAGAAAATGTATTGCATTCCCCCTAATGCATTAATATTTTCTATCAACAAATAGTTGCAATACTATATACTACTAGCATAATAATAGCAGTGCCATTGACTCATTAAGACATTAACAAAAACTGCCATTGATATTTTTATATAGTCATAGTTGTTCCTGTGTTTCAGACCTGCAGGCAATGTAATTGTTAAGTCAATTTCAATTCTTCCCATTACAAAATTCTCTCAAAATTTCATATTTTCTCCTCAGATACGCCTGAAGATTTTACAACCGATAAATCTGGCAAGATTGTGTTCAGTTTTTGTCAGAAATCTCTACAAGAAATTGAGAACACAAATTGGAACTAATTTAAACTCCACACTAATTGCAACCACATATTTCTGCTAAAAATTATTTCGTTATTCATTAGATTCAAGTCGGATTTCATAAGCAAATAGTTAAGTTTTCATTTCTAAAACTAAAAAAAAAAAACTTGATGCCCTCTAGTTATCTCCTTATCAACTTCTACACTTAAAAAAAACACATTTTATTTCATTCATTAAGGGAAATTTTCAAACATGAATGTCAGTAAAATGGACATGAATCACAGCCGTCATGGCAATCAAAGAACAAGTTCGGGCTCCCATGACGATCATCACAAAAATAATGAACGTGGTGATAAGGAGAGGAGGTCATCTCATTACGAAGAGAAGAAGTCATCTTATGATGAAGAGAAGAAGTCATCTTACGATGAAGAGAGGAGGTCATCTTATGATGAAGCAAGGAGGTCATCTTATTATGAAGAGAAGAGGTCATCTTATGATGTAGAGAAGAGGTCATCTTATGATGAAACAAGGAGGTCATCTTATTATGAAGAGAAGAAGTCATCTTATTATGAAGAGAAAAAGTCATCTTATGATGAAGAGAAGAGGTCATTTCACAGTGAGAAGAGCAAGAGAACAGCGTCATGGAAGGAGAAAAGATCATTTGATGATGAAGAACGCCGGAGAAGACGACATTCCAGCTCCAGTGAAGGTTCCAGTTCTCCATTAAAAACAAAACATCGTAGCAAACGCAGCAGACGTGACAAATATCGGGACACACGCGAGACTGCCAACAGTGATACGCAAGACAGATGTAGCCATAAAGATAATAATGATTATGAAAGACGTTCTCATGTTATGCATGGATCAACAAGTGAGCAAGGTAAATATTATTCTAACAATAAATCAGATTCTGAAGAAGTTGATTCAGAAGAAGAGGTCATGTTTGAGTGGGAGAACCACAAGTGGGAGTTGAATCAAATGTTCTTTAAGGATAATGACGTCATACAGCGTGGCAGTGAACAGTACCAAGACTTCTTCAAGTTCCTCAAGAAATACCAAACTCTAAAGAAGCAGAAAAAACTCAAAAGAATTCTGGATAAAAATATCAACAAAGAAAAACCTCGCGGTGACAAGACTGCTAAGTTGACTGAAAAGTTTGAATTACCAACAAGATTTGATAACAAATATTTAGTAAATTTTGGCTTCAAAGACGTAACTGTTGACTCTCTAATTCGACGTTTGCCTCCGCGGGATTTGGAAGACAAGAAGAAACGACTTTCTAGGAAGAGAATCGAAGAGTTTATCACGATAATACTTCTTTATCTCAACTTCAACCAAAAAAAGAGCTTCGAGAAGTTGCAAAAGCTGCGCAAGTGTCAAAAAGAACTTCCGATAGCAGGATACAGAGACGCCATCTTGCAGACCGTGGCAGACAACAGCATCGTCATCGTTGCTGGGGACACAGGCTGTGGCAAGTCCACTCAGGTAAAGATATTTTTACAAAGCTTATTTGCAACTTTTTCTATGAATTTTTAATTTTTACAATTCCTAAAACTCCAATTATTTGTTAAATAGATTGTTAGCACTCTGTATGATGGGTTTGTATCACGGAGCTAAGAGCCACAAAAAGTGGGTGTATACCGTATTAATTGAAAAGTAAACTACTGTAAATAATTGAGGTAGCGAGCCGATTTTGAAATTTCTATGGCGTCCAAGGAGGGCGTAGAGAACACGTATAATATTTTCTTCTTTACTGCTCATATTCAGTTTCTTATAGAATTCCATTCTCACAAAACTTGTCTCCAACTCATAATCTTAAACACTGCCATAATCGTAAAAAAATCCGTAATGTTAATATGCCAACTGACTGAATCACCATCAACAAAACAACACATGAGTGCAAATGACTGGGTCTATTGGTTGCACATTGCAACATGATAGGAAATAAAAACATATATCACAGGCATGAAGTTTTAGTAATTTGGCGGCGTGATCAAGAAATAAGCAAATACCTGATTAAAACAAATTTACATATAACATCTGCTGCTTTTGACCTTGCAGGATAACCCTGCCATGTCACAGAGCCTTATAACTAATTGCTTAGCTTTTTTTAACATTATTGTAAACTATCTATTACCACTTATAAAAATCATGTCACGGTGTTAAAAGGTTCCTTGTAGGTACGTACTAATCGTAAAATAATTATTCCCTATCATTCAGTTTATCCAGTGCAGTAAACCTGTCTCTCATCAAACCTACAAAAAAAAATCTTTAACTACCCGTAATATTTGACGGCAATATAGGACGTTGCATGTGTGTGTTGTACCGGAAAACTGTAAAGAAATAACTACGTGTGATGTGAATGCCATAATTGGTGATGCAGGTGCCCCAGTACCTGATGCAGGCAGGGTACAGCTGTAACATGTGATGCAGGTGCCCCAGTACCTGATGCAGGCAGGGTACAGCAGGGTGGCGTGTACACAGCCCCGACGTATCGCCTGCATCGCGCTCTGTAAGCGCGTGTCGCACGAGACGCTCAACGAGCACGGCGCGCAGGTCGGCTTCCAGATCAGGTGGGACCACGTGTTTGTATTGTAATTATTTACTATGTTAGTCAATAGTGCAATTATTTACTTGGTAAGTCAATGGTTAGGTGGAGGAATGAGGGAAATATACTTAAGGTAAATATATTTACCTCATATATAAATATGTACCTGATGGCAGCAGGGTACATATGTAAGTCAATGTTAGATGGAGGCATTTACCTCGTATATAAATATGTAGTGCAATTATTAAGTTGTAAGTCAATGGTAGGTGGAGGAATGAGGGAAATATACTTAAAGTAAATAGATTTACCTCGTATATAAATATGTAGTGCAATTATCTAGTTGCTAAGTCAATGGCAGGTGGAGGAATGAAATAAATATATATAATGCTAGTAAGAGATGTAGCTTGCAAGTTTGTCTCAACTGTGACCCATGTTATCAGCGTGGACCAATATTTTTTGTAGTGTGATGCAAGTATTTTACTTATTAAGCAACATCTTGCTATGCCATTTCATGGTAATAGAGATACTTGCAGGTTATCATCTATGTTTAAATTAATTATTTAAACCAATGATTACCGAATATGATATGCTTGGTAGAAGCTTCTTTCTCTGTGTTTCTGAAGAATTCAAATTCGCTGTGAGTTCTAATTCAAGAAATTGCAGATCTCAAATTAACATTCAAAATATATTAAATTTTTTGCATCAAAACGTAATTTTTCTTTCATCGAAATGATTTTCCTAAGGCTGTATTACTTTTAATTTCTTTTTTTACTATATAGACCTAGAATGTATTTTTTATCTTTTTTATATTTAAGGTTCGAGCGGCGCACGTCAGACCGCACGAAGATCGTGTTCCTGACGGAGGGCCTGCTCCTACGTCAGGTGAACTCTGATGCCGCCCTCGCTGCCTACGACGTCATCATTCTAGACGAGATCCACGAACGTCACCTACACACGGACTTCCTGCTGGGGGTGGTGAAATGTTTACTCCTGCAGCGCAGCAGTCTTAAGATAATCCTAATGTCGGCTACCATCAACCTAGACCTCTTCAGTAAATACTTCCTCGGTAAAGCCCCTGTGATCCAAGTGCCTGGTAGACTATACCCTATCCAGCTCCAGTACTTCCCTATCCCCATGCTGGAAATGACCACAAAATCGGATAAACTGAACCCAGCTCCATACGTTCGGGTACTTCAACTCATTGACAACAAATACCCGGAAGACGAAAGAGGAGACGTGTTGATTTTTCTCAGTGGATTCAGCGAGATCAGCACGGTCGTGGAGGCAGCGAAACTTTACGCCCAACAGACCAAACGTTGGATCGTAATGCCCCTACACTCAAACTTATCCGTGGCAGACCAGGAACGTGTCTTTGACGTGCCTCCTGAAGGTGTCCGCAAGTGTGTCGTGTCCACAAACATCGCTGAGACGTCGGTTACCATCGATGGAGTTCGGTTCGTGGTTGACTCCGGCAAGGTTAAGGAAATGAGTTACGACGCTGCGTGTAAAATGCAGAGACTTAAGGAGTTCTGGGTCAGCCAAGCCTCCGCGGAGCAGCGCAAAGGGCGAGCTGGACGAACAGGCAAGTTCTGCGCTCGTAACTTTTATGTTGCTTGTAAAATATCTCTAGATTTATATTAAATAATCAACAAATTAATGCCGTTAAATATTACAGTTACTGCTTTAATATGACAGTAATATTTTAATAATTATAGCATTGAGAGACCGAACCTAACGGACGAACAGGCAAGTTCTGAGTTTTGGACTTCTATGTTGCTTGTAAAATATTTCCAGATTTCTATTAAATTATTAAATGCTCTACAAATTAAAAGCTTGAGCAACGCAAGGGGCCAGCTGGATGAACAGGCAAGTTCTGAGTTCTTAACTTCTATGTTGCATGTAAAATATCCTCCAGACTTATATTAAATAATCAATAAATTAAAAGCTTTTAAAGCCAGGCGTCCGCGCCCCGCGGAGCAACGCAAGGGGCGAGCTGGACGAACAGGTACGTTGTGCGCTCTCGAAAAAAAGAGCAAACTCTTAAAAAAAAGAGTAAATTAAAAAAATGAGTAAACTAAAAAAAAGAGTAAAGTAAAAAAAAAGAGTAAACTCTCACTCTTGACCTCTATGTTGCTGTTAAATATCTCCAGATTTATATTGAATAATCTACAAATTAAAAGCTTTTAAATATTACAGTTAAGGTTTTAAAATGGTACTAATATTTTAATAATTGTAGCAGTCGCCCCTAATAACTGCTTATGAGATGCCAAACCTAATAAATATAGCATTGTGATGCCAAAAAAAAAACAATCTGTAGGTTATCTTCACCAAGTCTCTACTACCCTTCCCTTGTTATTATCTTTTCTTAGTCTCTACTACCCTTCCCTTGTTATTATCTTTATCGAGTCTCTACTACTACTACCCTTCCCTTGTTATTACCTTCACCCAGTCTCTACTACCCTTCCCTTGTTATTATCTTTATCTCTACGAACCTTTTCCTGCTATTATCTTTATTCAATATCTTTATCCCTACCCCCTTCTCTACCCATTATTTTCATATATTCATAAACCCCTTCATCCCACAGGCCCCGGCGTTTGCTTCCGGCTGTACTCAGAGGAGCAGTACAGGAGCTTCGACGCGTACAGTACTCCAGAGATCCAGCGCGTGCCCCTGGACTCCATCGTGCTCCAGATGATCTCCATGGGGCTGCCTGACGTGCGACTCTTCCCCTTCATCCAGCCCCCCTCCATGGAGAGCCTCGAGGCCTCCCTACGCTCCCTCAAGGGCCTTGCCGCCGTCACCAGTGAGATGCATTTAAAATTATTTATGTTTATTAATTAATATTAATATTTTGTCACATTCATTTATGAATTTGTCACGTATGAACGTGGCAAATTCATTTTGTCAAATCCATATTTATAGTTTGTTACAAATTAATTACCTATGTTTATTAAGTAATACTCCTCAGTATTTAGTCGCATTCATATTTACAGTGTTGTTAAGGTCGTAAAATGAGCCATTTTATTGAAATTCGTACGATTTTACGACTATTTCGTCTTTATTGAGCCGCAAAATTCCTAAGCCAAAATGTTTGTCCAGAGGATAGGTATTGTCCGCACTTAAAAAGTTAGATGATCATTGAATAAATTATTCCGAATTTTAATTATATTAAACGTGGTGATTAACACCTAATTAGAGGTCGTAATTAACACCTAATTAGAAGTCGTAATTAATACCTAATTCTGGTAGTGTTGCAAGGGAGGTCGATCTGGGATTGTGCTCAGGAACACGTCTAGTTGTCTCTTGAAGGTCTCCAGGGTGAACTCCCCCTCTCTTAGATCCTTTGGTAGGGCGTTGAACAGCCTTGGTCCTGCCACGGAAAGTGATCCTTCCCGCAGGGATTGAAATCTGACTGCGGATCTGTTACGTAGGGGGGATCTTGCACAGTCTCTTCCTTCTCTCGTTGTGATATGTCTCAATCCTGAAGGTCTCGCTCTCGAAGTTACTGCTATCTTTTGCTGCTAGTTATTGCTGCTGATGGACTGCTCTCTATTGTTCTAATCTTCTTGTCAGTTGCCGTCATTTTTGAAATTTATGTCCAATAAAGAATAAATTTAGGCAACGGGAGGCTCACATGTTTTCTAGGAGATTGTGGAGACCTGTAACTCTTATTGTTCATGACTGCATTGCGAGGATTTCTGGCATTTATTCTATTATTCGTTGCGGTTTTTTCTTTCATTTTTAACCAATGACGTTATTTATACATTATCTTTAGTATTATCTATAACGTTATATCTGTTATTTTTATTGTTATCTATAGCATTATATATATGTTATCTTTAGTGTTTTCTATAACGAAAACAAATAATTTGTCTGCTGTTATTTCTTGAGAATATTATTAACAATATTTGTCTAATTTGATCGTTATATTATAAATACTATTGCTGTCAAATGACTGTACGATCGTGAATATATGAGTAATATTATCGATGTAATTGGATTTACAGGCCGAGACGACGCATTTGTTAACATTATTATTTCTCTAACTTGACTGTTATATCATGAATACTAGTGCTTTGTAATGACTGTACGATCGTGAATACATTAGTAATATTATAAATACTGGTGCTTTGAAATGACTGTACTATCGTGAATATACTATTAGTAATATTATTGATGAAGTAATATTATAAACACTATAGCTGTGAAATGACTGTACTATTGTGAATATATGAGTAATATTATTGATGTAATTGGACTGTACAGGCCGAGACGACGCTGTCGCTGGCTGCGGCTATGAGCGTACAGTCGGTGTTCACCAACAGGGCTGAGCGAGACCCTGACTGTGCGGCGGCTGTACAGGAGCTACTGTCTCTCCAGGGAGACCCTTTTACGCTACTGAACGCGTACAGGTACAGTCGCTGTGCTGCCGGTACAGTCGCTGTGCTGCAGGTACAGTCGCTGTGCTGCAGGTACAGTCGCTGTGCTGCAGGTACAGTCGCTGTGCTGCAGGTACAGTCGCTGTGCTGCAGGTACAGTCGCTGTGCTGCAGGTACAGTCGCTGTGCTGCAGGTACAGTCGCTGTGCTGCAGGTACAGTCGCTGTGCTGCAGGTACAGTCGCTGTGCTGCAGGTACAGTCGCTGTGCTGCAGGTACAGTCGCTGTGCTGCAGGTACAGTCGCTGTGTTGCAGGTACAGTCGCTGTGCAGCAGGTACAGTCGCTGTGCTGCTAGTACAGTCGCGTATAGAGGATAACTCGTGAATATATTGTACACTGTACAGTACTGTTAGCAGTTGCTATGTATAGTGGGAGACTTAAGTACATGTGTAAGGTAACATGTACATTCTCTCCTCCATGTACTCATCTCCATGGTGCAGGGGCTGGCTGGAGCAGAAGTGGAGCATGTAACATGTTCAGCGTACACTCTTTCTCCATCTCCATGGTGCAGGGGCTGGCTGGAGCAGATAACATGTACAGTGTACAGTCTATCTCCATCTCCATGGTGCAGGGGCTGGCTGGAGCAGAAGTGGAGCAGAGGAGGAGACTCCAGGCGCTGGTGCAGGACGAGGGGCCTGGAGGAGCAACGTTTCTACGAGCTCTCCAAACTGCGGCACCAGTTCACCCGTCTGCTCCAGGTGCTCCATACAATCCTGAAGTATAGCATTCAAATTGTATAAATATAAGAATTACTCCAACCATATAATTCTGAACTATAGCAGCATTCAAATTATATAAATATTAGAATTACTCCAAATTATTAATTTATGTGGGTTACAGTTCACCCGTCTGCTCCAGGTGAACTGGATGCTCCATCTAGGTTGCTCCATACAGTCCTGAATTATAGCATTCAAATTGTATAAATATGAGTGTTACTCCAAATTATTAATTTATATAGGTTACACTTCACCCGTCTGCTCCAGGTGCTCCATACAATTGTGAACTATTACAAATTTTATAAATATGAGAATTGCTATAAATTATTTCTTTATGTATGTTAACATGTAGGCTGTGTTCATGTGGTTTAACATTATAGGTCTAGATGCACATCAATTTTAGGTTTTTGAACAATATAAGTATTTGATAATTTGTAATAATAGATTATTGATAATTGTAGTAATAATAATATTTAATAAGATAATAAATATTAAACACAATCCTGAACTATAGCATTCAAATTGTATAAATATGAGGATCACTCCAAATTATTGATTTATGTGGGTTAACACGTAGGCTGTGTTCATGTGGGTAAACAATATATTAAACGGATGTTACAGGAAAGCAAGCTGCACGAGTCGCCGTCTGTAGGCCGCTGTAGCACAGCAGCTGAACGCAGCCGTAGACACGGTGAGCTACAGCAGCTACGCGCCCTTAAGAACAAAGTAGATCTACAGTCTACCCGTCAAGTGAAGGTCCTGAAGGTAGATAACGACGGGGCTGCACTGTCTGACCCTGAAACTGACGCTGTCGACGTCAAACATGTCGACTTCAACCTGAAACATGACCCGAAACAGCTCGAGTTGCTCTTGAAAAACGCCGACGTGCGTAGTTTCAAAGACGTGATTATGCTCAAGATTATCCTAAGCAGCGCGCTGTACCCCAACGTTGCTATTGCTGATGAACATAACACGTATAAAGCGAACAGTGAACAAATGTTCCATACACCGAATAAACCTTTCGCTACCCTACACCCTACAAGTGTGTTCGCTAAACATCCTGATGTTCTCGCCGTGGTTGACTCCGACATCGTTGAACTACCCGAGTTCAACTCTAGGTCCCCGGCTGCGACCAGACAACAAGTTCTTATTTACGTGTCACTGTTGGAGACCAATAAAGTGTTCCTCATGAACACATTCCGTGCACCTACTGTACAAACCCTGATGATGTTTGCCAATAACATCGACACTAATGCAGACTTATCAGTTATGGTGTTTGATAAGTTCATTGAACTGCGATTCCCTGAAGCGTCCGTAGCACAAAACTTGGTGATACAAGCAGTCAAGTTGCGCACTCAATGGAATGAGTTACTAGAACTTAAACTTCAACTTAGCAAACCTGATGCAGACGAGCTAGAACTTTTAACGTCATCAGGTAAGCTTGAGCGAGTTCTCTCTCATGGTCTCATTGAGTTCTACTTAGAAGAACCTCTACATTCACAACGTCGACTTGTGGCCGCAGACGTTAAAGTTCTTCATAAAGGACCTGGCATGGAGGACGCGGTCTTGGATCCTAACCCATTCACAGGACTCAGCTGTACTCAACATGAGAGTACTGGTGGCATGGTTCTCACTGAGTACCTCACGTACAACAGTCTTCTGGACACTCGCTGTACAGTCACGACTCTAACTGACGTACATTCTTTGTGCCCTGAATGTCAACAAGAACTGTACTGCACGACTCTAGGTCGCATGAATCATATAGTGAACTGTCAACCTACTGTCAACAAACGGCCTGGCGTTGACGAAGATGGTGACAGTGCAGCATCTGGCAACTCCAACGCTAAGAAGTTTTATTGTGAACATTGTGAACAAACTTTGTGGCTCACCATCAGGCAGATATTCGCTCACAAGCAATCACATTCATGAGTGATTCTCTAACACATTCTTTAAATTTACTATCTCGACTTTATACTTTGATTGGCAGCATTTATTGATTATATTGATCAGCAATTATTGATTATATTGATTGGTAATTATTGATTATATTGATGAGCAATAATTGTATTGCCCATAAAAAAAGGATTCACGTGATTTAATGATTAACCACAAACTGCCATGAAAAAACGATAACATTTAATAATAATTATTGATTGTTTTTATCAGCAATTATGTATTGCATTAAAAAATGATTCACGGAATTTAATGATTAACAACAAACTGCCATGGAAAAACGATAACATTTATTTATGATTATTATCATTATTTTTTGAACCGTACCATCTGACAACGTCTTGATTTACAAAGGAAATTAGTTTGTAAGTTAGTCTCTTAACTCGGAATACATTTTATAAAATCTGAATGCTTTTCTTTGAGTAAAAAGGATTTCCTTCGTAAATATCATGAATGATGAATGTTCTACATGAAGCATTCATGTTCATTTGTAGAATTTCATTAAAATATCTATAATAGTTTTATTAGAGGATATGAATAGCTTACTAATATGCGATCATTAAAATATTAATAGTTTTATTAAAGGATATTAATAGCTTAGTAATATGCGATCATTAAAATATCAATAGTTTTATTAAAGGATATTAATAGCTTACTAATATGCGATCATTAAAATATCAATAGTTTTATTAAAGGATATTAATAACTTACTAATATGCTATGGCTGTCACCACACATGTGTGTGGAGCGTGTATGCCTTCACTACACTTCACTGGATTACTTTAAGCCTAAGTGCTCTTACCTTAAGTTTTCTCAACAATTTTTCTTTTACTTCCGCCTTATGCTAAGTTAATTATCATATATCCTAATTTTAATATTTGAAAAATTCTTCTAACTGTGATGAGTAGGCAGATGAGGCAAGTCTCTGTGTCTATTTATTTGGATAATTTTTAATGTTTTTCACTATTGCGCGATTAGGCTAGACTTTTTCCAGGGCACAATTTTGGACTGTTTCAGTTACCCTTTTAATTCCAGCCTCACGTCATCAGACAAACATATTGTTGTTAACGACGTGCATCTCAATAATGGAACTACAAGTTACGAGGCAATGAAACTGTCGCTTAACACGTTGACTACGATTGCTTCATCTTGTACTTTTGTTTCATTTTTCTAGTACTATTATGGAACAGGGTTGCCAGACTTTCTTTTTTTACCAGACAAATTCCACGATTTAGTTTTTCAATTTAGGTGGTCGGCTAAAATTTACGATAGTGGTTTTAAGGAGCACTTCCTTTTATAAAAGCTTCCTAATTAAATAAAAAAATTGAATTTTTACACCAGAACCTACAAATATACTAGTACAAATTGAGTTATAGGCCTTTTTGCCCTTTTTGTTCACTGACTTAATTGGCCGTTTTTTATGCCATCTGGCAACCCTGAATTATGTACCAGGAGAAATACATTTCGTGGTACGCATATGTACCAATACGTAGTCAACGTGTTAAACACATAGTGGAAGTGTAACTTAAAGAGATAGTTCAACTATAACTTGAACAGACAGTGGAACTGTAACTTACACAGATAGTGGAACTATAGCTCAAAGAGATAATGAAACCGTAACTTAAACAGCAAATGACACTGTTGCTTAAACAGACAATAAAACTATAACTTGAACAGACAATGAAACTGCAACTTAAACAGACAGTAGAAGTGTAACTTAAACATACAATGAAAGTGTAGGTTAAAGAGCCAATGAAATTATATTTTAAACAGCCAATAAAACTATAACTTAAACAGCCAATGCAACTGTAACTAAACATACAATGGAACTATAACTATATAACTAAGATGGTAGGGAAGGAGAATGTGATGTTGTTGTTGCTGTTGGCTGTGGTGCTGCCCACCACACTCACTCTTGCCTTCCTCAACACTGTGATGCCCTTCTCAGGTGGGTCAATAC